TTCACTACATGTTTGTTAGAAGCATCAATATGCAATAATGGATTATGCCGAATCTTGCAATTATCAACGTCACACCTTGTGTCTGAGTTACACGACTTGGCTATGTGACCCTTCCTTAAACACAAGTAACATAGACCACGCTTTCTCACTTCCTGCCTCCTCTCTGTAACATTCATTTTTGATAACTTCATACAGTCTTTCTCCTTGTGATCACCAAAACAAATTTCGCAACTTAAAGCCTTGAATGAGTTGCTTGGTTCCCTCTTAACTACATTAAAGCGTGATCTCTTGTCAACTTGGCCTTCATAATTACCTTTACGAAACCTTGAGTTACAATGTACCAGTCTACCAAAACGTGATCGCGCAATTCTGGCTCTTTCTTCTACAAACATCACTAATTCTTCAAATATCGGCTCTCTACCGGTCATCATAATCCTATCAGCGGCTTCTACCCATTTATTCTGTAATTCCAAGGGTAAACGTGACACAATTATTTCCAAATTAGCCGTGGAATTCACATCAGACATATACCCCATTTCCTTCAATGTTATACATACATTACGTAACTTAATTGCGAAGTCAGTAAGGCCATCGGCGGATCCTTCAACTGATTTGTGGCTAAGTAATTCGGTAATAAGATTACGGGCAACGAGATGTTCTTTACCAAACAAATCATACAAAATTTCCTTAGCCCTATCGTAACCCAAGTGACTGGGCAAAGAAATACAAGCTTCAATAGCCATTCTGGCCTTTCCTTTACAATAGTAAGACAAATATGACAACAACTGGCCCTTGTCAGACAGTTTACTCTCTATAATGCTTGTAAACTGACTAATAAAACGGTGGTACTGGCTTGGTTGTCCGTCAAAAAACATCATATCGATTTTAGGCAAAACTGTATTATTAACCGTAGCACGTAACGTGTCCTTTAATTCATCAATACAATCGCATTTTGAGGCGTTAATTACCTTATTACGCGCAATATCACAATCCAAATACCTTTCGACCTTAGAATTTATCTCAGCTTTGTCTACTGACAGTTGGTTATCGTTTTCTATGAGCTTACATTCTAATTCAGCCATATCAACTTCCTCTTGAAGCTCTAACATTTTAAGCTGCTTTTCTAACTCAAGTCTCTTTTCCAAATTCTTCTTCTTAATTAATGCCTTATCTAACTTCAATCTAGAAGTACTAAACTGAGATGAAGACTTACTATTAACACTAATATCATCAAGTTTATCATCATTAACATCAGACATACCACAAACAGCTTTAGAAAATTTACCATCCATTTCGTCCTGCTCCTTCAGCCTTTTGCTTCTAGTTTCCATTGGATGATTTTGTTAGAAATCGATTACCAAGCAAATATGAAATTATTCCAAACGTATTCGCCAATAATAGCAAAATGTCCAAAAGTATCCAAAATATAACCAAAGAACCAAAATTGAATTGTCCAAAGTATCCAACGACCAAATTAAAAGTTAGAAGAACTTTTGGACCCAAATTTCCAAAAGTTTCCAGCGACCAAAATTGAATTGAAGAACCTCTGGAGCCAAATGACCAAAAATCCAATATATGACGAATATAAATTAGAAGAACTTTTGTTACGTCCAGTTTCTTGCTCGTTGATCTTACGAAGCACGGTTGTCGTTCTACTTGCAATTCACGATCCCCAAATATTTAACCAAAAAGGGAACTCCAAAGTCGATACCAAAGTTTATTCCAAATCACAAAATCGACCAAAATACTTTATTACAAATAGACGACCAATGTCGTTCTAACAACAATAATTATAATAATTACAATTACCTTCTAATTTATTAGCTCTTGGAGCAAAAAACTGCAACGAACAACAAAGAGAAACGGGAGTCCAATATGTCCGCAAATAATAATTCAAACAAGTTCACAAGTTAAGTAAAACAAATGTACCCAAAAACAGTGAAATTAATGATATTTATACATGAAGGTTTTGATCAGCAAAATGTCTTCGTTTCTCCCAGAACAGCATATGCCCCCACAGACCGCAGTTCAGATGAGGTGAAATATGAGTTTTACAGAAAGCTTCCGGACCTCCTCCAAAAAGCTAGGCGCTCTGATATAGTATTAATGGCTGGTGACTTTAATGCTCAAGTAGGTAGACTAAGTGAGCAGGAGAGACACCTTGGTGGATCTTACGGTGCCGCGGCTAACAGAACAGAAAATGGCGACCGTCTGTTGCAACTTTGCTCAGACAACTGCCTATTTCTAGCAAAAACTAACTTCATGCATAAGGAAAAACATCTTTTGACCTGGCGACACCCGAAGTCGTCTCATCGTTGGACCCAACCAGATCACATCGCCATCAGCCACCGATGGAGGGGTTCGATAGAAGACTGTCGCTCGTTCTGGGGCACATGTTTAGATTCAGATCATGCCCTAGTGCGAGCGCGTACTTTTTCGAGGCATACTGGATGTAGGACAAACACCGCAAGGAAACCTCTTAAAGTTCTACTTAATGATGATAAGGCTAAGAATATATTCCAGAAACAACTAGAAATAGAGTTGAGAAACCATGTAAGTGATTCCCATCCGAAAGCAGCTTGATATGATATCAAAAAGGCTGTGGAAACAGCAGTGAAATTCCTTAGTAAGGTTGACCATAAGGCTAGAATGAAGCCGTGGATCTCAGTAGCATCCACCGATCTGATGGATACCCGAAAACTCACCCCACCTGGCTCTGAACATGATGAAGAACGAAGTCAACTTAGGCGCAGACTTATAAAAAGCCTACGTAACGACCGCGAACAGTGGTGGGTGGGGAAAGCAAAAGCGATGGAAAAGGCAGCGGCGATAGGCAACAGTAGACAACTTTTTCGACTTATCAAGGAAACTGGTATTAGGAATCCTAGTGTAAGTAAGACTATCTCAGAAAATGACTCTCATTTATTCTCAATCCAGGAGACTGAATCGATGGGCAGAACACTTTAGGGATCAGTTCAACTGGCCTCGAGCCCCTCTTCGGTTACCCACGATGTCCAGTCATTCTGAATGGCAAATCGACCTAACTCCGTCTGGTCTTAATGAAGTTGAGAATGCGTTAGGAAATCTGAAACGAGGACGAGCTGCAGGTCCTGATAGACTGACCTCTGAGATATTCAAGGATGATGGTCCAGTTTTAGCAGCTAGGTTGACTGAGATCTTAGGTAGAATCTGGGAACTGGACGCAATCCCATCCGACTGGTCCCAATCACTGATTGTCCCAATCTATAAGAAAGGACAAAAGTCTTCTTGTGACAATCACAAGGGAATAAGTCTAACTAATATAGTATCTAAAATATTGGCCTCAGTAATACTTCGACGCTTAACGAAAGCTCGTGAAGAGCAGACTCGAGAAAACCAGTCTGGTTTCAGACCTGGAGGTGGCTGA